TGTTGACTTCTGATTCCTACAAATCTGCATCGCATTTCAAATATGAGAAGAGCTAGCAAGTGGTTTATCTTATTGAACCATGTATCTTTAACCTGTACAAAGATTCATATATTGCTCCTCATTTGGTTATCAATGACTTTTCAAGACAAGCTTTGCAATTGTCATTAATCCTGAGAGCTCTGTGACTCATACAGAGAATCACATAGAAATATACCCTCAAGGGACAAGTTATCAACATATATTAGGAGTCTATTTGGGGCTTTGATACTGCTTAATTCAGTTGCTCCTCATAATAACATTGTATAACGTATTACCATCCTGTGTCTAGATGGGAAAACTGAAAAGAAGCCACATATTCAATGTATGATATAGCTCAAATTTGCCTCATTTTTGAGGACTCCAAAGTCTTTTTATTCTGGTATTCCTGAGAAGCAGAACCAATAGGATGGATGAATGGATAGATAGATAGATAGATAACAGAAAGATAGATAAATAGATGGGATATATAAGTGATTTACTGTAGGAATTTGTGCACAAGGTTATGTGGGTGAAAAGTCCCATGACATGCCCTCTGCAAGTTGGAGAACCGGGAAGCCATAGGTATAATTGATCTCATATCTAAAGGCCTGAGATAGGAAGAGGCTGCTTTTGAGTCTTGATCTGGTTCAGAAAACTGGGCGTAGCTCTGATGTTCTTAGACAGGAGATGTCAGCTCAGGTAAAGAGAGTGCATTCAACCTTCCTCTGTGTTTTTTGTGCTTATCAGCCCCTCAGCAGGTGGGATGATGCATTGGTCAGGGCCACTTTCTTTCTTTTAGGCTAACTTAAGTGCTAATCTCTCTGAGGCATCCTCACAGACACACCCAGAAGCAGTGATTTACCAGCTGTCTCTCTGTTCCTTAGCCCAGAAAAGGGCACACAAAACAAATTACCACAAGTTTATTCCTTGTCAATTACTTGGAACCCAAGCATGTCCTCTCAAATCATGTTTAACATCTAAATAAAGACAATAACAAGGTCATAATTCTGTCTAGCATGATATCACCATCCCGTGTGCAGCTGTTTCCATCCTGGTGAAAACACACCAACTCCTTCCCCAGCAGAGGATTTACATTCTTAGAGTGATGCTCCCTCTCCTTCTAACATCCTTTAACTTAATACTCTGATGTAAAATTAGCAATGCTTACTGTTATAGAGTCAATACATTTCATGTTATGTGATGAGGAAATAGGAGAACATATTGTTCCATTTCATATAATTATTTTAAAAAAGCAGCAAGTAGTCTACTTTATAAAGAAAATGGCTTATTTTGGATCGTACTTTTGAAGACACAGTGTCTGGGGGCTACATCTGGTGGTAATCTTGCTGGCAGAATCCTGCAGCAGTACAGAGCAGCACATGGGAAGAGCTAGGAACTGTGCATGTCTGTCTGCATATCTCTCACTCTGCTCCTGAAGTTTCCAGGATTCAAACAGAGGCTGAATCCTGAAGACATTATCTGATCCTAAACACTTTCCAAAGGTCCATCTCTGAAAACAAGGCTTAAGTTTCAACCTTATTAACATATCACATTGGGGATTAATTTAATCATATGAAGTTTTGGAGGCCATTCAAACTACACGCAAACCACAACATTTTCCTCCTGCCCCCCAAAGTTTAATATCTTTATCAAATATGCAAAATATAGTCATTTGTCTACAATAACTTCAAAGTCTTCCATTCAGCATTAACTCAGAAATCCGAAGTCCAAAGTCTCGTCCAAGACTCAGTGTGAACACTTTCACTTATGAGTCCCTATAAAATAAAAGGACAAGTTACTATCATAATTATTAAGGAGGCACTTTTTTTTTTCCAAAAATAAAGAATTGGTAAGAAGAAAAATAATTGGCCCAAAGCGAGACTGAAGCTCAGCAGGTCAGACATGAAATCCTAATAAAAGGAGCAGCATCTTGTGCACACTCTGAGGAGGGCTGGGTTCACATGGGCTTGGGCAGTCTTGCCCCTTCTGCCTTCCTGGCCAGTCACATGTTTGTCTCTCAAGTTATATACTGATGTTGGTAATTTTCCAAGGTTGGCATGGCACATTGTGTTCTCCCTACCTTTCTGTGGTTCCCTCTGCAGCTTCACACCATGACTCCATTAGGAATCACCTCATTGTGTGCTGTCTGCCTGGCCTTTGACTATGCAGAAAATTTCTACATGGCCACCCGGGCTTTCATTTGAAATCTTGGTAGGAACGACCATGACCTGGTGATCCTTGCACGTCTGTGCCTGCCAAATCAGTCTGTGAGATTGCCAGTGACTGCCACCAGTGTCAGCTGTTCCTGGGCGTGCCTAAACAAAGCAGGGTGCTTTGCCAAGAAAGACAGATTCTGAAATGGCCCTGTGTTCATGCAGCAAGCATTTAGAGAGAGCCCTGGTGTTACATGAAACCACTTTATCCAGAAAGCTCTCTGGGCCTGTGGTGGGAGGCACAGTCTCAGTGGTTTCTGAGATGCTTCTGGCTATTTTTCCAGTTGTCCCAATGCCAAGCATCTGGCTCCAAACGGCTGTCCTTAGCAAGAGGTTTCTAACTTCACTCCTTAGTGCTTATTATTCACTACTTCACCAGCCAGGCATCACATTTTCCAAATTTGTCCATTCAGTCTCTATTTTTATTATACTTTCTGTCATGTCATTGCTCCCAAATTCTACTGGTTGCAATGAAAATGGTTTTTCTTAAGATATTTTCTTCACCATGTATCCAAGTTCATCATTTTTAATGGTGAACAAAAGTTCTAAGGGATGGACATGGTTCAAGTCCTTCCTCCTGGTGGACAATAGAATATTATGCATTTGTAACTGAGACTCTGTCAGTATGGCTTTTAATCTTCACATTTCTATCAGAATTTCAAGGTTATTACCAGTTAGCCAATATCCAGGATATCCCAGTTCTTGCCCATTTTTCTTGTATCCTGAGTCCTCACCAGAATTATCCATACTACTCTTCTTTTAATTAATTAATTTATTTATTTTGACAGGCAGAGTGGACAGTGAGAGAGAGACAAAGAGAAAGGTCTCCCTTTTGCTGTTGGTTCACCCTCCAATGGCCGCTGTGGCTGGTGCGTTGCGGCTAGCGCATTGCGCTGATCCGAAGGCAGGAGCCAGGTGCTTCTCCTGGTCTCCCATGGGGTGCAGGGCCCAAGGACTTGGACCATCCTCCACTGCACTCCCGGGCCATAGCAGAGAGCTGGGATGGAAGAGGGGCAACCGGGACAGAATCTGGTGCCCCAACCGGGACTAGAATCCGGGTGCTGGCGTCGCAGGTAGAGGATTAGCCAAGTGAGCCACGGCGCTGGCCATACTACTCTTCTTATAATAGAATTTTTCTATTCTGCTTCTCTAAACTATTCCAATATCTGCCATTGTCAAGTTACCAAGATGTCTTCACATTTTAGCTATAGTTTCAATAATAGTTCCATCCACAGAACAGTGTTCTGTATTTGTCAACTTTTGTGACTGTAACAAAATAACTGAGAGAAGATAACATCATGAAGAAAAAGTGTTTTTGTATTTACCTCACTATTTTGGAGACTGAAAGCCCAAACAGCATGGTGCAGGATCTCAAAAGAACCCCATGGCAGGTGGTGGGAACACACACTGGAGGAAGGAATCACCTCTAAAAACAAGAAGTCAAACAGACTCAAGGGGCAGGCTCAGGTTTTTTTAACAACTCACTTTCACGAGAACTCACTCAGTCTTTCCTTCTGTGGGCAACATCCCCAGTGACTTAAGAATCTCCACCTCCTAGAGCTTACAGCAACTGCCTCATTGCCACCCTGGAAACGTAGCTTCCAATACATGGAACTTTGAGGAGAAAACCAATGTCCAATCCAGAGCCTAGAGGAAGGAAAACAAAGACACATGCTTAATGTATGTATTAGACATGCAAATACATTCATAACATAAAGGAGAAATATTAATGAAAATTATAATCTTCATTTCTGTAACAGGTCATCACTAGTACTTACTTATAATGACTTTTTTTTTTTTAAATTATTTACTTGAAAGGCAGAGTGACAAAGACAGAGAGAGGACAGAGAGGAAAAGATCTTCCATCCTCTGGTTTATTCCTCAAATGGCTGAAATAGACAGGGCTTCAACCAAGAGCTGGAACAACCACCCGAGTCTACCACATGGGCGGCAGGCACCCAAGTACTTGGGGAAACCTACTGATTTCCCAGGCACATTAACAGGGAGCTGGATCAGAAGAGGAGTCGCTGGTGCTATAGCTGGTGCTTGGTTGGGGGAAGCAGCGATCACAAGTGATGTCTTAACCAACTGCATCAGATGCTAGTCCCTCTGCCTATTTTCTTTCACTATCCATTCTGCGCATCCTTTAACTTCAATAACCAGCTCAGCTGGTTATAGTTTACTTGCTGGGGTGATCCAAACCTTCATTCTTGTTCTGGATGTTAATGGTCTTGCCTGGGTTAGGTTGCTGTCATTTCCATTGACCTTAACAATAGGGAATGGTAATGCAAAAATGGCTTCTATTTCAGACATTTTTTTTTTTTTTTTTTTGCTTTCCCCCACTGTGAAGTAGTTAAATTTCCCCTTGTTAGTCTGGAGCAATACAACCAAAACCATCAGTCTCTCCTTAGGGATTCAGAGGTATGAAGAGCCCAAAGTGTCTGGGTGGCAGTGTCTTAACTTCCAATTCAATAGAATCATTGTTGTGTCTGTTATACAATAAGGGTGACTTTAGTTAACATAATATAACTATAAGAAAGAATTATAATGTTCTTATCATAAAAAAGATAAATGTTTAAGGTGACAAGTATGCTATTACCATGATTTCATCATTTTACAATGTATACATGTATTGAAACATCACATTGCACTCAATAAAATTATGTAAAATTATGCATCAGTCAAAACTGAAATGAAACATAACAAAATGAAACATAACGAAATGAAACATTTCTTCTCTAATTGTTACCCTTCCAACTTTTCACACAGATTTGTATGCTAGAAGCCAATTTAAGTGACACCAAAAGGCTACAAAAAAGGTAAGAACCCCATCTAAAGCTTTATAAGTTTGCAGGAACAAACACAATGTGGTGTCTTGACTACTGTTGCCAAGGGTGTATTGTTCTCATGTTAAATTTCTTTTAGAATCCATTGCCTTGCTCCTGGGAATATAGTTGCCAAATAATGTAAGCACTCCAGCCCCAAGATTATGCTGTAGAACAAGAGCAGCCCCTATTTCTGGCAGATGCAAATAAGTGTAAACAAAATATCCCTGACATACTATTAGTTGATATGAAAATGATTCTTGACATCCAAGACTAAGAATGCGAAAAGCATTCAGTATGTGTAGTGGCAGATTTGGAAAACATAAGAAGTCAACAGCATTTTCCACTGACTTCACAATGACAATTTTTAAAACAGAGATAAATATTTCCTTTTAAGTCTCCATTCTGAACAGAGCTGGGATGCATATATGGGGAAATGTGGGTTGTTAACTGCTAGATTTGGCCAGGTCTGCACTGTCTTCTTTGAGATACTTAATTGACATGGTTATAAAACAGAAGACTTTGGCAACTGTCTTACCCAGATTGGAATTTTGGCTTCTTGAACAGGGAGCCATTTAAACTTTCCAAGCCTCAGTTTCTCCAGATTTAATTGGCAATAAAAGTGTCTTTTTCGCAACATTGTGATACACCCGAAGAACCAATGTATGTAGAATGTTAAGCTCAATGATTGATAGACAATGAATGATGCATATATTAATATTATTAGATTCAGGTGTTATGCATATCTATGATATAACTAGAGTTATTCTTTACCCATGACATGAAGAAGGAGCAAAAATCTGAAAATAATTCTGTAACTGCATTTTGTGTGGAGTCTCAACTGCAGCTCCATATATATATTTCTGACATGTTTTACTATGTATGAGGGCCTATATTTCCTTGCCTAGAGGATTAAGAGTTAATGAGCTCTATCAGTATTTACATGCATATATATATATATATATATATATATATATATATAGCAACTGAATGTGTATGTTGAATTACATATATTAATATATATGGAATTATGGAAAAAATCAATTTTGTACTATTCATTTACACTAAAGTAGTATATTGTGCGGATCCTCAAGTGTATCCCTACACAGATCTAGAAAGTGTATCCCTACAAAGACTTTGGGTTTTCCTTTCATTCTCTATAAGCCCCTGCCAATAGTGCTTTGACTCATTGAATTTAGTATTAAGAGCTAAGCAAGAGGACTGAGTGGTGACTGAATTGGTACTCTTGGTTTCAAGGAATGCACATTAGCTGGAATGAGAGGATGCAGACAATACATGCTTTATATTACTGGTAAGTTAATAAAGTCAATTGGGGCTAATAGATTTAAAGCAGATTATGAGATATGCAGCAGTGGGGAAACTTTTTTCCTGACAAGGGCCATTTGGATATTTATAACGTCGTTTGTAGGCCATGCAACATTATCAACTTAAAAATTACTCTGCTATAGATTAATTGAATTTCAGGCTCTGCCTGTGGTTACCTTGGCAGTGCCAAAATGAATGATTTCACAGGCCTCATGCAGTCCAAGGGCTGGATGTCCCCCACCCTGGAGCGGCATTCTGTGTGGCTGGTTGGGAGAAACTTTCTTTTTTTCCTAAGATTAGATTAGATTTATTTATTGAAAGGGAAGGTAACAGAGGGAGGGTGATACAGAGATTGATAGAATATATATGGAGAGAAAGGGGGAGAGACGAGAGATAGGGATAGAAGAAGAGAGAAAAAGAGAGAGAAAGAGGGAGAGAAATTTCCATTCACTGATTCACTTCCCAAATACCTGTAACTACCAGGGATGGGTCAGACTGAAGCCCGGAGCCACAAACTCCATGTAGGCCTCCCACAAGGTGACATGAGATCAAGTACCTGGTTCTTTACTAGATGCATTATCAGGAAGCTGAATGGAAAGTGGAGCAGCTGGAGTGTGAACCACCACTCTGAGACACTGCTGTCCCAAGCAGAGGTTAACCTGGTGCACCACAGGGACAGCCCCAGCATAAAGTTTCTTAAGTCTGTGGGATTTGAAGTGCAGAGGGTGATGTCTTGCTAGGTTAATTTTGGTGATGGAATTATAGGTCAAACAGAGAGAACTGAGAGTAGGAAGAGTGGTATGATGACCACAGTTTGGGAAGTGCTTGCAGTGCAGGGAAAATGGAGAGAATGATGCTACAATCACTGTGATATGTGAGAACAATAGAAGGGGGGAAAATTGACTTCAGAACTTGTGCACCTTCATGCTGTTTGAGAACTACAAGTAAAATGCATGAGATAATTTGAGACTGTGTAAGCTTAATTTCTTTCCAAAGTTGTGGTGTTTGTTAGGAGTGACGGACCCATAGTCAGGTAGCTAGGTTCAAATACTGACTGAGATACTTCCCGCCTATGTAGCCTTATTTTTCTCAGTTGCAAAGTGGGGGAATTATAAACATCCAACAGCACTATCCCCAGCATTAAAATGTGTTAATATGTGTAAACTGCTTAAAAAGTGTTAGGCATATAAAGTTCCTAAATAATTATCTGTTATTACTTGATATGTTCCATCAATGAATGCATTCTCTCCACATATTAATTACTTTCCCCAGATAGTGTCTGTGGGGAAGAGTATTTTTCCTGATTGGAATTCTCCTAAAAATTGTTCCTATGTTTCACAAAGCTGTCATAAATGCCCTACAACAATATTCAGTCATCAGTTGTATATAATTTGATCACATGAGAACCAGCATGATTTGGTTTATAGACATAAAATCTCAATGGCTAGTCATAAAGCTAGAGAGAGAAGAAACTAATTAACAACTTCATAAATGCAAAGTGAGGAAATCAAGGCAAAGTAAAGAGTTTGATGATCTGTGTTTTAAATGATTTTGTTTTCCTTTTTAATTTTTTTTTATTCTTTCAAACTTTATAATCCAAATTAGAATACTTGTGAGTACTATGGATTCAATTCCCTATACATTAATTTAATAGTAGCATTTTTCAGACTCTGTAGATTCAGAATTGATAAATCCATGGTCCCTATTCTCCTGGGATCATTGCTTTGACAGGAAGAAACATAAATGCATGAATAATAATGCTACAATGTGACGAATGCATTGAATGTATATATACTAGGAGTTCTGAGAATGCAGAGAGAAGAACAAAGAGAATTCATACAAAGAGGGGTGTGTGAGTTTGGCCTGGAAAGATGATTCAGGTAAAATGATCCAGTGGTGTGGAAGGGTGGAGATGTTTCAGACAGAAGAGTCAACAGGAGTTGCCTGGAAAGCACACACAGGTCAGGGGAGGGACTGATGTGGGAAAATCAAAAGAATGATGAGATGGTTCAGTGTCAGCCTCACCGTGCCAGGGACATTAAACTTAATCTTCTTCATGTATGAGAGCCATTAAAGGGTTTTGAGGAAGGGTAGGCCATGCCCAGACTCATCTATACAAACAATCATTTGGGTAATTCCTGCTTAGAAAGGTGATTTCAGACACCGTGATTTTTTTTTTTTTTTTGATCAACAGTGTAACTTTTCCTTCAAGAAGTGTTACCAAGCAAAGTTGTATAGGCCTTCACAGATCCTCTATATTTACATGTTTTCATTTCAGCTAAAAATAATCTTAAGGCCATTAATGAGGCATCAACATTATCTCCCTGGTAATAAGCTATAGATAGCACCCCATTTCCAACCTATATTTTGAATAATCTGAAATAAGACAAAGAATTCATAGGAAGACCAAAAACATCTTAGTGTCTCATTAAGACTGGATTAAACCAAAGTTTATAACATTAGGGTCTTGTAGCCTATGGGTTTCCTATTACTTTACACCAGAATTAGATAAATGGACTCCCCTTAGGGAAGATTGCTGGAAGCATGACTGGGCCTATTTGGAATTCAATCACAGGAAGTGCAATGTGAAGCTGAACATTGTATTTTTTCACAAGTTTGCCTGTGTGATTATCCCTCCAGCTTCCCCAAGATACATAATATAAGTCATGGGGAGTTCCCAGAAGGATCATACATTGGAGTTCTCTATACCTAAAAGGGAATTAAATGCAAGGGAGAGAAGCACTTTCCCTTTCTCTCTCTGTCTTTGGAACCTGTCTGTTCCTCTGGATGCCATTTCATTCCCATTACACCCTATTGTCCTTACACTCTAAGCACCGGATCTTGGTGTTCCTTCTCTTCCTCCCCAACTCCCGGACAGAACTTTTGAAATAAAAACAAAGCCAGAGATTTCTGGCTGAAGGAGAGCTGAGTTTTGGAAAGGGGGTAGTTCATTTTTGAGTTGCAGCACTTACAAAATAAGACTCCAGGAGCACTACTCCAATGCCGGCATTAAGCTAAGCACGCTGGGTAGAGAAGAATACACTGTGGTCTTTCTACAAAAGCCCTTTTTGAGTAAAAGCTGCTGGGCAGCATTAACAGCATCCAGGAGGCAGAGGTACTATGCAGCCCGCCGTGCCTTTCACAGAGGGAGATTCTGATGATTCTACTTAACACACGCACACAACCCTCCCCCCCCCCCCATACACACACACACGACTTTCCAGCATCAGTGGCTTTCTATTGCTAAAATAAACAATTCAATGTCACATTTCTATGTGGACTTCATCAGTTTGATGGGCCAGGAGGGTCAATTTGTATCATCCATGAGGCCTCCATTACATCACCTGGGGAGTGAGTCAAGAGAAGAACTCCACTTTTCTTAAATATATACCTCGATGCACATCTTGTGCTGCCTTTGCTGAGAAGCTGGTGTGCTTTTTTAACGTGGCCGCACAGTGAACTAGGTGGAATATGCACAATAAAAGAAGTTCCTATTTTGAGCTGCTTTTAACTAAGAATATTTTATACTACTGCACCTACATAGTCTTTAACACTCTGACATTATGTAAATTAAGTATGTTAATCCCCAATTTTGTGCAATCTTCTCTCATTTAAACTTTTCCCCCTTTTTGTTAACAGAGAGGAGAAACAAAAAGGAAAAGAAATAT